TAAATCAACAACACTTCTAAATACAGTAAAATAAAATGCATTTAGCATTTATGAAAGTATATGCCACTGCGTGTCCTAATAATCCGCCCATAAAACCCGATAAACGTCGCTTTCGTAGGAAAACATGCAGGTTGTAGGGATAAATGAGTGGGGCTACATAAGCTTCTGTTGCCAGATTTCGATTTATTAGTGAAATAAGACTTATTGTTTATTTTTCACTTCAGTTTAATCTAAAACGCTCGTAATTTTTGCGTTGTTCGGCAAATTTGAGCAGTTCCCAATATTTGCGTAGTTGCAAATCTTGTGAAATTCTAGCCATATGAACATGTAGGTGACCTTATATAATCAATGTGTTTATCACTTGCTCATTAACAAGTCCTTGTTTCTGCATTGCAGATGGCTACATATTCAAAGCCACATCGATTGAACCGCTGACTGCCAGCGTTAGTTGGCACTGCAGTAAATCAAATCCTGACAGTGAGCTCAGAGTTTTATTGAACTCCTCACCAACTGCGGTGTGCACCTCGGCAGATTCTGTCGGTGAACATACCTGTCAAGTCACGGGTCTTCTGCCTTCATCCAGCAATAGCGTCAAGCTCACTAGATGCGAAAAGGCCACTGACGCCTGTGAGGATCTGTACAACCTATATGTGCGAACAGCCAGTGGCGGTATGTGAAAATCATGTTAATCAAATCCTAGTTGTGGTTTTCTGTAAAGCTCTTAGTAGCGCAAATGTGTCTACGTTGACTGTGTCCGAGGGAAATTACTTATCACACCTTGAAACATTTGATAAAAATGCATAAGGCAGGAAGAATAGGGACTGGAGCATGTATTCTTATGAAATCAGTGAGTAAGCTGATAAATTGGCATGTCCCGAAGACGTTTTTTTTGCGAAAGCCGAAACATGCACTAATAGGTTTTAACAAGTGTTTTCGAATGATACCTGTTGAGACCGAAACAACCATAGATAACTTGCTAGAGAAATTCCTAAAATGATACCTCGTAGTTATATACATTAAGGTTAGTCTTCTCCGCACTATGTTGACATCCGCAGCTCCCAACTGCCAGCAGCTCCCACGCCATTTAAACGTCTGCTACTCAACTGGTGAAATTGAGCGTAAGAGGGACAGACGACGCCTGCCTACTTATTTTTCTTCTTTCTCTTTCTGTAACAGAACTGCAGACGTACAGTAGGTTGCCAAACTCATGCAATCCTACGATTTTTACAAGTAACT